ATAGTCTTTAGACAATGACCATGTAACATAAGAAGCTGTTGCAAGATTTCTGAGTGGAAGAGTGACATAATATGACATATACTATTTAATAGATCCCTCTGGCAGCTGTCTTGAGAACAGACAATGGAAGGGCAAGGATAAAAGGAGAGAGATCAGTTAGTGGATACTACAGAAATCCTAGGAGCTCTGGTAGCATAGTGCCTAAGGCACTTGACTGCTAACCAGAAGGCTGGCGGTTCAAACCCACCAGCCACTCCTCGGAAGGAAGGTTGGGCAATCCTACTTCTGTAGTGATACTGCCTCGGAAACCCAAGGAGGGGTCTCTATGAGACAGGGCTAACTCGATGGCAAATTAACAACAACAGAAATCCTGGTGAAAAATACTTGTAGCTCTAACCAGGAGTGATACCAATGAAGATGGGAAGAAGCAGTCAAATTCCAAACTTATTTTGAAGGTCCACCCAGGAAGATTTATTGGGACAGAAATTTGAGACAAAGAGTCCAGAGTGATGCCCAAGTTTTTGGCCTGAGTAACTGAAGAGCTAGAATTGCCATCAATTAAGATGTGGAAGTTGCAGATAGAACAGATTTTCCAGGGGAAGTTCAGGAGTTCAGTTTTGGCTGTGTCAAATTTGAGATGCCTATTAGATATACAAGCAGAGATATCTATTTACGAGGCAGTAACTATAGAAGTCTAGATTTCAGAAGAAAGGTCTAGGCTTAGGGTATAAATCTGAGATATGCCACCATATAAGTGAAAGATATTTAAAGCCAAGACACTGAATATAGCACCAAAAAAGTGAGTGTAGACAGAGAAGAGAGCCAAGACAGGACCTGAGCACTCCAGATCAGGAAAAAGAGGAATCAGCAAAGGAGACAGAGAAGAAATAAACAATAAGATAGGAAGAAAATCAAGAGAGTATAAGTATCCTGGAAGCCAAGTGAATATATGTGCAAGAAGGTAAGGATGAGGGAGTAGTCATCAACTGTATCAATGACAGCTCATATGTCAGATGAAGGTTGAGAACTACCCATCAAAACTGCACATAATCACTAATGACCTTGATGAGAACAATGTAAGTAGAGAGATGAGGCAAATGACTAACTGGAATGGGTTTAAGAAAGAATAGGAGAGGAACTGGAGAACTCTTTCAAAGAGGTTTAGAGCAAAGGGAGACAAAATTAGGCCTTAGTTGAGGAAGAGGGGTGGGAACAGTAGGGCCAACGGTAATTTTTTGTTCTTGTTTTTGTAAGAAGGCAGAAATAATTGAAAGCTCATATTCTGATGGAAATGATCCAAAAGGGTGAAAATTTGATGAAGTAAGAGAAAGAGTAGAATAACTAGTGATATCCTAGAGTAGGTGAGACAGGGTGGGTACCTGTGGAGAGGTTCCAATTAGAAAGGAGCATGGACAGTATATCTATGATAAAAGGCAGACAGGCAAGTAGGCAGAGCATATGGGTACAGATGTTAGCAGATGGATAGATAGAGCAGTGGGAGTCTGTGGAAGTTGTTTTCTCAGTACTTAAACTTTCTTGGTGAGGTAGGAAGCAAGGTCATCAACTAAAAGGGAGTATGGGACAGGAGGTTCAAGGCTTGAGAAGACAGGAGAAAGGGTTAGAATGTCATCTAGGAAAGTGAAGGAACAGATAGTGTGATTGCCTGGCAGCATTAAAGACCTACTTGAGGATCATAGTCATGGATTTAAAGCAGAACTAGTCAGCATAGCTGTATTTTTTTCTCCATGTACAATAAAGGACTCCTGGTGGTGCAGTGGTTAATAGCTCAGCTGTTAACCAGAAAGCTGGTGGTTTGAACCCACCAGACATTCCACAGGAGAAAGATGTGGCAGTCTAATTCCGTAAATATTTACAACCTTAGAAACCTGATGGGGCAGTTTTACTCTGACCTGTAGGGTCACTATGAGTCAGAATTGATTCAGTAGCAACTGGTTTGGTTTTCTTGGTTTATGTATAACTATATGGATATGGGCATGGAGTAGGTGTAGAGTTTCATTTAAACAAGGTTGAATTTTTACAAGAAAGGGAAGGGTATAAAAAGGATTGATCATGGAATTTAAGCTGAGTAAGAAGAGGGCATAAAAAGGTGAAAGATCAAGAGACTGGAGGTATTGGCAGGGTTAAACAACTGTTGGGATAGAGCCAGAAAACAAGCAGTAGTAGTAAGGAAGTGAACTGTCTAAGAGAGTATGAAGGAATCACAATTGGATAATGAGGTCTAAGGAAGTTTCCCACCCTTGGAACTAGTGACATTTTGGACTAGATAATTCTTGTTGTGGGAGCAGTCCTGTGTGTTATACCATGATTAGCATCATTCCTAGTCTCTACCCATTAGATGTCAGTAACGACTTCCCTTGTTGTGACATCAAAAATGTCTTCAGACATTTTAAAATCATTCCTGGTAAGAACCACTGGTCTAGAGAATGACCAACGGGGTGCACAGTTAAGGTAAATAAGAAGACAAGATCACCAGAAGGGAGAACATTAAGGAACTGAGAGAGAAGCCAGAGAACTAGAAGAATCAGCTATGAGTATTCTGCAGTCACCAAGAACTAAGGCAGGAATAGTGCTAGAGAGAGTGAAAGGGACAAGGACCCAAAACAGTCAAAATACAAAGCAGAAGTGAATTGATGACAACGATTAGGAGGAATGGGTGACAAGATCTCATAATGAGACTCCAAGCTTGATAGTAGTGGTGAAGTCAGTATTAGAACTTAGGCCATTTCCTAAAGATTTTTTAAATGTCTAGTAGGTGGGCAGACACCTCCACATGATTTCATAATCAATTAAATTAGACTCACAGAGTCAAAAATAGAGGTTGATTAAAAAAAAAAAAAAAAACAATTGGCACCATTTCTGACTGCCATATATAACAAACAGCTGAAGGCACATACTGGTATTTTTGGCTGAATACTATGTTAAAAATAGGATTTAACATCTTGGTTTTTAAAAACTCTCAATTTTCTTTCTCACTTTTAGAAGTATTATACTGTCTTTGAATAGAAAAAATATATATATTTTTAAATGACTGCATCTATCTGTTTGCTACAGAGCAACCATAACCAGTATTTCCTTTAGGTAACCAATCACCTTTATCTTCATACAAGCTAATCATCAAGGAAGACAAAAATACCTTCATATTAAATGGGCTGATTGCAATGTTCTCCAACTGTGTGTCACCAGTTCCTCCTATGGTCACCTGGAAAGACATCATCTCACTAGACTGCAAAATTTAGAGCAGATAACCAATTTCCATTCCACCTCCTAAAAGTATTGTTGTTGTTCTGTGCCGTCGAGTCAGACCCAACTCATAGTGACCCCTCCTTGGGTTTCCCAGGCAGTATCACTACGGAAGTAGATTGCCTCATCTTCCTTCCGAGGAGTGGCTGGTGGGTTTGAACCACCAGCTTTCTGGTTAGCAGTCAAGTGCCTTAGGCACTATGCTACCTGAGCTCCTTCCTAAAAGCATATTCACAAGGAAAGCACTGGTTAAAAGTAATAGATGTGTCCCTTTATAGAAGCAAGTTTTAAGAAGGGAAATTCACATTAGTACTAAGTTTTCCCAAATATACTGTCTTATTGCAATTAAGTCTTTAGGCCACAAGGAAGCTTACTGAATTCTCCAAAGGGCCAGTGAATGTCCACAAGCCCATCTGCAAAATTCTATCTTGTTATATTTAATTTAAATATCATACAGCATAAACATGAAGAACAAAGGATGGTGTCAAGGAAACATAAGATGCTATCATCCAAGCTCTGATTAATTTTACAAATTACCAAATCCAGTATTTAAAGCTCATATAAAAACAAGGGTGAAATATTCTCATTTCAAGGCCCAGATAACAACTTGTCAGCTCACTAGGAGTATAATTATTAGACTTTTCACATGGTGTTATTATGATAACTAAGGAGCTCTGGTGGTACAGTGCCTAAGACATTGGACTGCTAACCAGAAGGTTGGTGGTTCAAACCCATCAGCCACACCATGAAGGAAGATGGGGCAATTTACTTCTGTTAAGACTGACTGCCTCAGAAGCCTAATGGGAGTCACTATGAGCCTAAATCGACTCGATGGCAGTGGGTTTGGTTGTTTTTTTTTGGTTTATTATAACTAAGGTATTCTCATACACTGTTTCTAAACTGGATGCTTTCCCATTAGAGGACACAGTAAGAGTTTTTGAGTAAGAACTAGGATTTAAATTTCAGCTTTGACATATATTAGCTATGTCACTTTCACTTAACCTATCTAGTTTCATTAATTCATCTGTTAAATGGAGATAATATTAACAGTCACTGTGAAGGATAAATTCCCTATAATATAAATAGGATAGTTCTAACACATAAGGAGCTCTGGTGGTGCAGTTGAAGCATGTGGATGCTAAACAAAAGGTCAGCAGTTCAAATCTAACAGCTGCTCCTGCTCTGCAGGAGAAAGATGAAGCAATCTGCTTCTGTAAAGATCTACAAACTTGGAAACCCTATGGGGCAGTTCTACTCTGTCCTATAGGATCACTGTGAGTCAGAATCAACTTGATGGCAGTGGGTTTAACATACAGTAGTTGTTCAATTAATAAAAGATAGCCCCCTTATCCTGGTGTTAATTAAAACAAATAAATCAAATAAGCCTCAGAGAACAAATCCATTGCCATCAAGTCAATTCCAACTCATAGTGATCCTACACATCAGAGGAGAACTACCCCACGGGGTTTCCAAGGCCATAATCTTTACAAAAGCACATTGCCACATCTTTCTCCCATGGAGCAGGTGGTAGGTTCGAACCTCTGACCTTTCAGTTACCAAGCACTTAACCACTGTACTACACCAGCTCCTCCTCAAAGAACAGGAATAAAATTAGGCCTCTCTTCTTCAAAGATGAACAGGACATTCTGATTTTGCTATAATGGATCATAAAACCAGGCTTCTAACCATTTTAGTCTTTATAATTAAAATATAAGTAAGTGCAAAAAACAGCTGCCTACCTTCCAAGCTTTCTTGTTCATCAGAAGTATAAGCATCCATCTGACTTTGTTCCCGTAAGAAACGAATAACTGCATAAACTAGGTGCTTAATAGATGACATTTTAGAAGCTTGAACAGGTTTTCCTGATAAGAAAAACAAAAACACTAATTTATTTTAAATAATTAGTCACAAAACTTACAAATCACAAACTTTATAAATAATGAGGGTTATGAATTACATTAAAAGTGAAAAAAGCAAATAAACCAAAAAAAAAAAAAAATACAAAAAAAAAAAACACCCTGTACTACCTCCTATCCATTCTCCTTTTAGAGAGCCAGGAGAGCACAGGGTATTGTTACAGTGATTTATTACATATTTTTATTTATACCCAGTAATATTAGATTGTTCAGTCTTTTATAAGTCAATTTTTTCTCAAAATATGTACAATATAAGCTCTCACTAAATCTTAACAATGTACATAGATAGAGAGAGCAGTAGAGACACAGATATAAGTACCCCCAAAAGCCCTCAGTACTAAGTTGAGGGAGATTTCATACTGCTGACTCAGAAGCTGATCCCCACTTGGTATTTTTCTCTATTTCATGAGTTTTTTTTTTTTTTTTTTTTTTTTTTTTAATGTATACGTAATTTACACTCCACCCAGTTTTGTAGCCTGAGCGATTATATCTGATGAGAAAATACGTTAAGGAATGGTTGTTCAACTGTTGACAGTCATCCTGAATAAAAATAGCATTTCTCCTTAATCAACAGATGTGTCACGAAATCACTGCCTAAGTCGATGGATACTACAAACCCATCAGTGCTCTGCAGTAGCTGTGCTCTTGTGGGGAACAGGAAGCTCTTGATCATGTTCATTCACATGGAATACTATCGCATCCAAACAGTGGCGCAGGGCCAGCCAGCATTAATGGCTTATTTCCACTAAATCGCATCATCCATCTGCACCCGGGTTCCCTAATTCAAAGCCAGGGTGTGGTAACCGCCGCTAGGATGTTTATTATTTGTGTACTTATTTTAAAGCCGAGCACAGTATCTAGGCCATGGGTTGCAAGTACTGCATAAGGCCCTAGGGCAGAAGGTGAAAAAATAGGGGAAAGGAGCTGCAAAGAGGTTAAGAGATACCTAATCTTCTCCAGACTTCTCTCCCTTTTTTTCCCCAGAGCACAGCGACCTTCTTCTCCCTCCCTGCAGCACCAGGGCTGTACCTCAGCCCTGAAAGGGTTTGCGGCGGGTGTATCGTGCAGGCCCCCGGCTGGGGAGGCAGGAGATGGACCCTTTCTGGGCAGAAGCCCCGTACCAGCAAGAGGATCCGAGACGACAGCTCCGGTCTCGCGGGCGTCCGTAGGCCAGTCCGCCCACCCCCTCCTCTTCAGCATAAAGCCTGGCTCTCGAGCCGCAACGCAGGCAGCACTCACCCAAACTTCCAAGGTTTCCAAGCCGCCGCCACCGTCCCCTCAGCCCACCCGGCGGAGCACTTCGCTCGCAGTGCCTAGGTCTCGCCAGGACCGCCCCCGGGGCGGTGTAGGACGCGCGGGGCGGGAACACGGGGTGGAGCGGGGCGGGGCTGAAGAGGGGGGCCGGCGTGGACTGCCGCACGTGGGAGGGCCCGGGCTGGGCAGGCCGCCGCCGCAGCTGTAGTGGGTGCTACTGCCGTCTTCTCCTAGTCTAGGCCCCTCCGCGGCTCCCCAGATCCCCTACTCCGGCCGCCCTCCTTCAGCTCTTCCAAACCCAAGGACAACGCGCCTGCTGCCGCCGGCCTGTCGGCGCTCCCATGATCGCTCTGTGCCTTTCAGCTGTGCGAGGCCTCCACAGGTACCTCCGTTACGCGGGTTGATCTTGACTATGGGCAAGGCGGAGTCTTCTGCCGGGACAGTACCGAGCGCCCTGGCCCAGCCTTTCCCAGCCACACCCCTATGACGCTCTTAAGACCCTTCCTCCTGGCAGACTGCATGCTCGACCCTTGCGGGACACCTGGCACGGGAGCCCAGGGGCCACTTTGCTTCCTCTGATCCCTGAGGAGAGCATCCATTCCCCATTGTTTGGGTCTGCCTCAGCCTCAGTGAGTCCAACTGGTCACAAGCCCGGGTCCAAATGAATACAGAAAGAAAATCCTTTGACTTTAGCCCGCATCCAGAACTGCAGACCTGTCATTAAAGTGCCACAGCTGTAGACTCAGAAATAGCAATTCTCATTTGCCTGTCGCACACATCATTAGCATACCAATCATTTAACAGCCACACAAAATGAAACAGCTTTGGTTTTGCTGTTTATTTCTGTCCATGCTTTCTAATTTCCTTTTTATTACTATTTTTTCCATAAAATATTCTGACTAGTGCAGGGGCAAATTGACTTGGCCCAAAATGGAAAAAATTATTGCTTGGACACGGTTTCGCATCCTCAGCTGCAGTTTTGGATTGTTTCCTAGCTTCCTAACCACACCCCTCTGCAATAGACCAGTAGCAAGATGCTGATTGAAATTCTTTGCATGGATGCTCTGGATGGAGTGGTCTTTCCAGAAACAATGCCGCCACCACCACACCCCTCCCAAATCCAACCCTCAACTGTAAATCCAAATGAAGATCCAACAGAAAAAAAAGAAATGAGTGTACCTGGCTATAGACCTGTAAAACTGTGTTAGAACATATCAGCGTTTCAGCTTGTTACAGTTTTATATTTCACATTGCCACTCATCTTGTATGAAGCTTTGTGTTGCTCAGCCCTTGTAGTCATGATGCATTCAGGGGACAATAGTAATTGTAGAATTAATGTAATGATTTTGAACATATTTTAGTGTGTTCTTTTTTACTAGTCTCCAGGCTGCTGGTGGGGAGCTCTGGTGGCATACTGCCTAAGGCATTTGACTGCTAACCAGAAGGCTGGCGGTTCAAACCC